GTGTTCTGCCTGCATTTGTCCATGTGGGCCAGAAGAGGGCACCAGATCTCACTATAGATGGCTGTGAGCCACCATGTGGTTGCTGGGAATTAAACTCAGGTCCTCTGGAAGAGGAGCCAACGCCCTTAGCCTCTGAGCCATCTCTCCACAGCAAGTGTTCTTAACCACTGAGCCATCTTTCTAGCCTTCCCACCATTATTTTGTTTTGTTCTTGAGGGAAAAAAATCATTATATAGCCTTGGCTAATCTGGAACTCTCTATCTAGCCCAGGCTAATCTCAGACTGCAGCTGTCAGGTTCCAAAGAACCTGAGACAAGTCTCCCTCGGTACCTGTGGCTCCTCCCAGCACTTCTCACCCTGCCCCCTACCCTAAGCCTCCCCGGTTCCCCCAGCCTCCCTTCCCCTTCTCACTCAGCCACTTTGGTTCTCTCTGCCTTTCTTTGTCTCCCTCTGTCTTCTCTTCTCTCGCTCTCCCCCACCCCTCCTCTCCTGGACCCTTCCAGACGTCTCTGGCTGTGTTCTCCCCGACCCCTCATCTAAAATAAACCTCTCCTCAAGCATACCTGAGAGCCATCGTGCCCTCCCCTGAAAGGACCAAGCAGATGCCATAACAGGCTGCTCAGTCTTAGAGGCAGGCAGGAAATTCAAAGAGAGAGACAGGAAGAAGGCTGGGGGAGACACCAGCGAGCCGCCCAAGAAGCAACATGTAATGGGATGCAGGTAAAGCCATGGAACATGAGGTAATACGTAGATTAATAGCTATGGGCTAATTAAACCTCTGTGTGTTTACTTGGGGGATGCTAGTGGGAGAGATTTGTCCCAACCACCAGCAGGCCGGGACACAGGAAATCTTCCGGTTACAAATGGCACCCAATGTGGGGCGTAAAACCTAAAAAAGCTTTTTTTAAAAAATTTCTAAAATGAAACTAAAAACAGCTTCCTGGTTATATCTCTCAGGCCAGCCATGAGCTACAGTATGGTGGGTTCACAGTGGTGTGTGGGCTTGAGTGCAACATGCCAGGTTTCTGCCATGGTACACAGTGGCATCTCCAAGCCACACAGTGCACTGCGTCATGACAGATTTAGCTTTTGCTGATACAAAAAAAAATTAATAATAATAATAAAAATAAAAAGCTTCTGGGGTTCACGCTGCTAGATGGAAACATAGACCCACTGCTTCCCATAGTCAGTGGTGCGCCAGGTTCCCAGAGCTAGCGGTAAACATAGTTCTGCCATGTTGGGAAGCTGAGGTGGGTGGAGCCAGCAGCCAAAGCTGCCATTTCAATCCTAGTCATACTACAGTTTAAAGCAATAGATTCACAATACGACAGATTCAGATGGAAGAAGACTTTAAATGGTTTACAGTGTGTGTAAAAATGTATGTAGGCTTGAAAGAGAGAAGAAAATGAATAAAGACAGTTATATAAAGAAATAGTTTTAAAAAATAAAGTCTTTAAAGAGATAGTAAA